GAGAGAGAGAGAGAGAGAGAGAGAGAAACATCAATGTGAGAGAGACACATCAATTGGTTGATTGGTTGCCTCCTGTACACCACAAAGCCATCATCAAAATCAAACTGTCTATAACCTGAAAAAGCTGTATCATGTCCCTTTTATATTTTTTTCTTCCCACTCCTCCTTGCCCTCCCCAATTTCCATGCAACCATTGATCTGCTTTGTGTTGCTATGGATTAGTTTGCATTTTCTAGAATTTTATATAAATAAAATCATATAGTATCTACTCCTCTCTTACTGGCTACCTTTACTCAGGTGATTATTTTAAGACTAGAGGCCTCATGCACGAAATTCGTGCACTGGAGTGGGGTCTCTCAGCCCAGGTCTCAGGGGAAGCCCAACTGATGGCTCCCTGTAGGAAGTGGCCTTAGCTAGCACTCAGACATCCTTAGCACTGCCGTGGATGCAGGAGAGGTTGCAGCTACCACCATTGCACTCACCAGCTGTGAGCCCAGCTTCTGGCTGAGAGGCGCTCCCCTGTGCCGAATATTTATGTACAAGTCTGTTTATGGAAATATATTTCTATTTCTCTTGGTAAATACCTGAAAGTAGAATGGCTGGGTCATACAGTAGGTGTATGTTTAAGTTTTTAAAAACTATTTTTGAAGTAACTCCTTTGTCACTAATATAATTCTGTATGTTTCCATTTATAGTATCTTACCTAACCATTTGGCCTGCTGCCTCTGCCAATTTAAAAATGATATTGAGGCTGTTGCCAAGACGGTCAAACTGCATTGTGAGACCGAATGTGTGACCAGCATACCTTGTGGTGAGTCTGAATTGCCCAATGATAGACTTTTTTTAATTTTATGTTTTCACTAGAGGCCTTGTGCACAAAATTGTGCACAGGCAGGGGGTCTCTAAGCTTGGTCTGCACCCTCTCCAATCTGGGACATCCCTCTTGCAATCTGGAACCACTGGCTCCTAACTGATCACCTGCCTGCCTGCCTAATTGCCCCTACCTATTCTACCTGCCTTCCTGATCGCCCCTAACTGCCCTCCCCTGCTGGCCTGATTACTCCTAACTGCCTCTGCCTCAGCCCCTCCCACCATGGCTTTGTCTGGAAGATGTCCGGTCTGATTAGCATATTACCCTTTTATTAGTATATTTGTAATCAATGACAATACATTTTTAGGCAAATAAAGTAACCGTATTATTTTTATTCATTTAATAAGAGTTCAACTCTAAAATTTTAAGAATTACTCCTTGCTAAAAGTCTGATGAAGGGAAGGGTATTACCATTAATGGCCACATCGTGTGTGTTGTGCTCTCTGCTGGGTGCTTTACTTCCAAATGAGAACTTGTTCATTAGTGTGTCATAGTTTGTAAACTCGTTTGTATGCATTAGGTTTCAATTGCCCTTGCAGTGTAGACAGATATAGACATTTTTATTTTCTTTGTTTTTGCAAGTTTATGAAAAGAGTACAAAATGGAGCTGTTTTATGTAAGTTTTATTTGGAACCTGAGAGTTTTTGGATCCATCACCAGAAGTTGCTACCCAGCCCTTCTAAGGCATGGGAGGGCTCTTTCTTTTTAGACTGTCCAGCTCTGACCTTGCTCTGAAGCACAAGGTGTTCTATCCACCAAACAGTCGTGTGCTTTTAAGTATTTGTCTACACATTAGGTTTATTGGCAGCTACTTGATAACTTCCCAAATGTGCTTTCATGCCCAGATAGCTTAAATACAGGTTTCTATCGTGACCTGGGGCACATCAGAAATAATACTGCTGTGCTACTTACATGAAGTCAGTGTAGCTTATTTTTCCAAACAATGATTTGACCAATTATATTATTCCCTTCTGTCCCAACAGCAGGCAGAACAGGCATTTTAATCTTCTTTTACAGGTAAATAAAAACAAGATCAGAAAGGGCTAAGGGCTGTCACCTAGAGCCCAGGTCTCCAGTCCCAGTTTGGGGCTCTTCGTAAGCCCATGCTCCTCTTTCCCAGGACGTTACCTCCTTCTCTGACCCTTATCACCACCAGCAGTACTTTTAATTCTGGAAATTCTTGTGTACCAGCTGCACAATGGCACAGTTGACCTTCACACAGTCAGAAGCTTTGGATGATTCCCCAAGTACAGCTGAAAATATAAGAAATGACATGAAATGATAGCAAAGTTGGCAACTGACTCACTTTCTGGACCCCAAATATTTCATAGATTTATTGAACACTAGAGGCTCAGTGCATGAAATTCCTGCATCAGGGAGATCCCTTCAGCCCAGCCTGCACCCTTTCCAATCCGGGACCCCTCAGGGGATGTCTGACTCACAATATGGGATCACTGGCTCCTAACTGCTCTCTGCCTGCCAGCCGGATCACCCCCTAACCACTCCCCTGCCAGCTCAATCACCCCAACTGCCCTCCCCTGCCCACCTGTTCACCCCTAACTGCCCCCTCCTGCCAGCCTAGTTGCCCCCAACTGCCCTTCCCCAGCAAGCCTTGTTGCCCCTAACTGCCCCTCTGCCAGCCTGGTCGCCACTTACTGCCCCCCTTGCCAGCCTGGTTGCCTACAACTGCCCCCCGTGGGCCTGGTTGCCCCACGCAGCCTGCTGCTCAGTCGTTTGGTCACCCCTCACTAAGCCCTTTGCCAGCCTTGTTGCCCCATGCAGCCTGCTGCTCGGTCGTTTGGTCGCCCCTCACTAACCACCCCTGCCGGCCTAGTTGCCCCACACAGCCTGTTCAGTTGTCTGTTCGGTTGTGATGGTTGCTTAGGCTTTTATATATAGAGAGAAGATTCCACAGTGGTACACAACCTGGCAAGTCTCTTAACGTATATCCCGAGTGCCTGCCTAAATCTTAAGCACAGAGCGAGGGTAGACATATTGTTTTTTCTGTATAGAGCCATCTGTTATGGGGCTGGCATATGTGGAGGCAGGGCCCAAGTGAGGAATCGGTGGGTTAGTGGAGAAGGGTGTGTCCAGATGAGGACGTGTTCGCAGTGGGTGTTAATCGTGGTCATCTGTGATGGTAGCAAGAACACAAGCATCCTGAAGAGTGGAGAGAGGAAGCTTCAGGCCCTCTCTGCATCTGAAGCAGGACAGGATGGGGTGCATGAATGTGAGGAGTCACAGTAGATCTGCAGATCGTCTAACTGAGTGGGTCTTCCAGCCCTGACTTTTCTCCAGTAACGGGCAGTTGGCCCTGGGGGACCAATGGAATAATCCTAAATATAGTCAACATATGTCATGCTATGGAATGTTCTAAGTAACCACTTTTTAAAAAGATGCATTTTTTCCTTTTGTTGTGTCAAAAATCATAGGTTTAAGTTGGGGTTTATTTTTCTCCTCTCTAAATGGCACTCAAATATTTGCTGATTCCCTATATATTGGACTGGGATGTATGGTTGTGGACTGACAAATAGCTGTCCCATGAGTCTTTCAATATCAAATGTGGTATCTTTTTTGACAGATGAACAAGTACTTACAGAGGGACCATTCATGAAAATATTAGAAGGCCGGAAGAAGTACAACAGCAGTGAGCTGACAATTGAGCCAGAGAGGACAGCCCCAAAGAAAAATAGCGAGAATTTGTCAGCCTTCATGAGTGAGCAGCTAGACTTTAATGATTAAAAAAATGATATTATTAGTGCACTGAATTACATATTGCCTTATTTCTTTCTTGAAAATAAATTTTTATTGACTTCGAGAGGAAGGGAGAGGGAGAGAGAGAGAAACAACAATGATGAGAGAGAATAACTGATCAGCTGCCTCCTCCACGCTCCTCACTGGGGATGGAGCCTGCATGCTAGGTATGTGCCCTACCTGGGAATCGAACCGTGACCTCCTGGTTCATAGGTGAATGCTCACCACTGAGCACACTGGCCTGGCAGCCTTATTCTTGGAAAAATATCTAGAAGATACAGAATCAATGTTATTACCATTCATTAAACTCCCCTTTTCAAATGTACACAATGCAGATATGCCCCTGAGTCATTTGATAAACAACAGAGGGAACCCTTCCCTTAAACCTGAATCATACAATTCAAGTTTCAAAAATAAATTGAGGAAACTCTATTTTCTGGAACAGGCCTCCTGATGAAATTGCTTGATGAGCAGCAGGAAGTAAAGGTTTCCAAGGAAGAGTTGGAAACAGAACAATGGAAAAATGAGAGGATGGAAGCCCTGGGGGAACAGGAAGAGGAGGAGTCAAACGAGGTGAGGACAGCTCCTGAAACACGGAACCGGGCTTTTAGTCAGTTTAGGACATGCCATGAAAGTACTCAGGCAAGAAGACTAGGGGCACCTCGTTTGAATTTTGTCTTGACCATGTGACTTCGGCGAAAATAGTGATCTCCCATTTTGCTCATTTAGGAATTGTGCCCCTGTTCTTAGGGTAGAAGAGCAAAGGACCTAACACCCAAAATAAGTAAATTGTACAAGAAAATGCTGATTCTCAGATTACATAACACATTCAATTTGGTATGTTCTTGAAGAACCTATACGTTAGCTATTTACTTGGAAGAGTGGGATTTTAGAATAATAGTTACAAATAGTTAGCTATTTTCTAGAATAGGCTAGCTGATAGTTATTTTTTTTATCCTATCTGTCTCTTTGGTGTTTTGGTGGGTTTTTTTTAATGTTCTTTTTTTTTTCCAGTTCAGAAATGAAGTGCCAGGATTTAAGAAGTACAACAACGTCATCATAGCATCACCTGTGATTGCAGTAGTAGCTTTTTATTTTGTAGTTTTCTGTCTCATTTTGGTAAGACAACAGTTCATTCAGATTTCCAATATATTTTCTGTCTTTAGAGGAGGTTCAGAACCCACAACCTGAAAATCAAAGCCACTGTCCCACCTACTCCTACTACTCCTACTCCTCTTTATTCATGAGCACTGAGATATGATTTGTTCTTTTATTACAAATTTATATTCCATGGATTTTAAAATGAATCCCATTCCCAGAGATCTCTCTGGAATTGAAATCAAGGTAAGTCACTAGACTATTTTGAAACTTAAGTTTGATAGGTCAGAATTGACATGATAGCAAAACTTCTTCATCTCGAAATGAACGATGTCGAGTGATGCACTCATTACTCTCTTTCTACCATTGATTTATTTCCTTGTTGGCTGAAATGAGAAGAGATGTAGAATCACCAACCTCATGGAGCTATGTCACCCTAGCAGATGGGACATGGCATAACGATAAAAGTGTGATCTTGTCAATTCTTAAGGTATACTTAGCAGCTTTCTTCTCCAGTGTGTAAGGCATGGTGTTAGTAGGTTCAGTTAAAACACTGCAGCCTAAATCCTGCATCAGGCTTCTCTAAAGCGTGGCATGTTATAGTCACCTGTTCCCAGAG